TATTTAGGGACCCCTTGGGGTCTCTGGGGCAATTTAATCTCACCCCATATTTACGAACCCCTCAGAGTCTCTGGGGCAGATTTTAATCTCACCCCGTATTTAGGGACCCCTTGGGGTTTCTGGGGCACCATATTTAGAGATTTACCCCATATTTAGATATTTACCCCATATTTAGCGATATACCCTCAGCCCATATTTAGAGATTTACCCTCACCCCACATTTAGGAACCCCTTGGGGTCTGCAGGACAGATTTATCCTCACCCCGTATTCAGTGACCCTTTGGGGTTTCCGGGGCAGATTTACCCTCACCCCATATTTAGGGACCCTTTGGGGTTTCCGGGGCAGATTTACCCTCACCCCATATTTAGGGGCGGCACCTCAGCTCTGCCTCGTGCCTGTCCTTGGCTCCATCCCCTAAAAACGGACCCGTTCTGGAGCGGCGCCTCCCAGAAATGTCAGCTGAGTGTGGGGGCGTTGAAAATGCCTCCAAGCAGAGCCGGAGCGAACCGGTGCCCAGCAAAATCAGCTGCAGATTTCCCAAAAAAAAAGGGAGGAATTTCAGGTGGGGAGAGCTGTCAGTGCAGGGAGCGAGGGGGTCAGGGCAGTTCAGGATGGTGGCATCTGTCCCACGGGGCTGGAGCGACCTCCTCGTCGCTTTTTGGGGATTTTTGTGGGATTTCCTGCGGATCCTTTCCTTTATCAGCTCTTCCCGGGCTGGATTCCAAAAAAGCTGAGCGCGGTTTGTGCCACGGCTCAGCCGATCCCGAGCGGGTCCATCCAGGCAGGGCTGGACCGGGGACAGTTCGGTGACACGAGCAGGTCCTTGGGGACACCAGACTGACCTCACCCCTCCCTCCGTGGATCCCAAAAAACCGGCAAAAATCGCCCTCTTCCCCCTGCAAAGCGGGGCTGCTGCGGGTTTAGGGTGGAATTTGGGGTGGGAACTCACTGGGCAGCGGGGTGAACTCCACGGCGGTCAGGCTGGCGATCCGGCTGGTGTCCAGCTCCACGCGGTGGTACTCGTAGATGGTCCGGCGCCGCGATTCTGCAACGGAGCCCGGGACTCAGAGCGGGCACAAACCCGACCCTGCCGAGGGATGGGCACCGCCCGGGGCTGGGGGAAAATGCTGGAAGGGAGAGGGGGCTCCAGGAGTGGGGGCTGTTCCCTTGGAGAGGTGCTGGGGCACGGATTTCCCTTTGCCAGGAGGAGCCGGRGGATGTCGGGGCACAAATTCCCCTCTCCTGCCCTGCCAGGAGGAGTTAGGGGATGCTGGGGCACAAATTCCCCTTTGCC